TCTGCAGCTCCGCAGCTCTTATGGTAAAACCGCCACTGAGTAGCACTTAGTGGGATCTATGATTAGATAGGCGATATGGGTAGTTAATTCAACAAATAAAGTAGTTCGGCCCTGTACAAAATTACAACTGGTATCTTTTTTGAATGTAGTATTTTAACCTGGGCAATAATTGTTTCTTGGAGTTTTTTCGTATTTGCTTCTGTTTTATTAAAATACAGTTGATTTAGGTTCACTTCATAAACTTGTTAATGGTTATTAGTTAAGGAAATATAAGTAGGCGCAGTTAAACAAAATTGTCAGTCGATTCGATACCCTCGAAAATCTAAGATTCCAAGCTTGTCAAGAATTAACTCCACTTCAGTATGTTTATCGAGTTTTTTCTTCAAGTGGTTTATTATACACGTGCTCTTAACCAGTACCAAACTTTTTATGAATGATCTCCTCTTGCGGGGCTACTTCGCTTACATGAAATTATGTTTAATGCGCATGCTCAGTAACATTGATATAATTTTAATTTATTAATTACTATAAAAGTCAATATTGTTCTATAAATTTAAATATATATGTAGATTCTATCATTCTTTTAGTTTGTCACTTGTGGTTTGAAATTTTTTAAATATTTCTAATATTGCCAGAATATCGCGATATTTAGGGTCATGACAAAGAAGACATTTTTTTGTCACTTATGTCGAAAATCGATTTGGTAAAAATATTGGAAAATTCTTCATGACAGTGTGCACTACGGGGTTGCCTATTATTTGGGGTATGTGGCGTAACTACTAAAAAGGTCTATTAGATGTCGAGCTTGCTTACAAGCCCGAGGCAATCTTTTTGAGCAAAGTACTTTCTCAAGAATTGATTTTCATTTTGATATTACTGTTCCATGTTCCATTTTTACTTACAATTTATTTCGTTTTAATTACTTTCATTTTATGAACATTAATAAACTCTCATTGCTGTTAATTTTCTCAACAAGCAAAAAAATTCCTAAAAAAAATTCTGGATTACCCGTATTAACTATGCATAGGTATCAATAATAAAATGATAATAGTAACTGTAGTAAACAAAATGAATGCATGATTGATTGATTGATTGATTGATGATTGACAGATAAATAATAATAATAAACATTTGAAACTATGGTAAAAATGGAAATAATGAAACTGTAGAAGCAAATTTTAACAAAAAATCTACAAATTCTTTGAAGTCACTTCTAGTGATGTCCGGATAATTCATACATTTATATTTTTAATGTTGTTAACTCACAATTCGTATACATATTACTTAAAATAATCCATGGAGTTTAAAAATTGTGAACACGCGTCCAACATTACAAATTCATCACAACCTGATAATAATGAACGTCTATCTAAGTTTATGAAGTGAACAGCAACGTATTTAGAATATTTCCGTAACTATAGCCGCTAGCAAGTTTATGAGGTGAACTTAAATCATCTGAATTTACCGTGAGACGGTAGCAAACAGAAAAACTCAATATACATTCCAAGATAAAATATTACATTAAAAATGGTATCAGCTCTCATTTTTTACAGAGTCGTACTACTTTATTGGCCGAATTAATAGAACTGTCTACCCATATCTCCAGCACTGATGGCTAATAATACTTATTACTGAGACATATGGCGACAAACTATGTAAACAGAAGTCACACCAAATTTTATTTAAACATCTCTTATCAAGACATTAAAAAATATAATTTTTTTAACACTTTAACACACTTTAATTATTTTGACCAGAGAAACACGTCTTCAAAGTTTGTCGACTTAATCCTGACACACCCTGTATATGTCACAAAGTAAATTTCTACAGGGTTCGACACATACTTTCACATCTCAGACAAATGTGATTCATGTTAAATTAATATGCGCAAAAATGACCAACGTTACTAATATTGAAAATACTTACAGAAGAAATGCTTTATGCAGTAAGCAGCATCAATTTCTGTAGACAAGAAGTGCGACCACAGAAAAAGCATAGTGTGCGATTTGCACTTATGACGCTACTTCTAAAATAAATAAATATGAATATGTATTAAATCTGAATGTTTCAATGTCCTGTTGAAGAAGTGCTAAGTGCGACGCCGGCCCTGGCAACGAAGACAAATAGAAAGTTGGAAAATAAACACGGATTGTACAACGCGACGGTGCATATAAGGCCGGGACGGCCTTCTGCCATCATTTTTCACCGATACGGGTGCAATTTTCGTCTGTTGGCCCCCCGACCGGCCGCTGTTGGCCAACATGGGACCAAACTAGCGGCGTGCCCGTAAAATTTCCAATTTTTCTAGCCGCGGGCGGCAAATATGACGCCCCGGAGCGCGCGAGAAGGCGGGTTAGTACTATCTCACCTTGTGGGCGCCGCTCTGCCGTATACAGATCGCATCCATCTCACAACCTGTCCATAAGCTCATTGACTATGCTGCATCGATTAAAATATGCAAGCACATTCGTACGTACGTCTGTAACTCGGTAGTTTGAAATTCCCGGTTTGCCAGAAAGTTCCACAGCGGAAAACTGAGAGGAAAAAGCCTCTGTTGCGCTTCTGTTTTTTTTTTAGACATAATCTTATAATCTTCATGTATAAATAGCATTAGGTTGTTTATTAATGGTAATTTCCTTATATACTGAACGGGAAAATGATAAAAACCTTGAACTTTATGCAACCAAACGTACTTAAAAATTAAAATATTTTGGTTTAAATATTATTCAAGTAAAACTAATAAAGAAGAGAATAATGTAAATATTATTTCCCCTTCATTTCAATGGAAAACAAGTTAATTTGAATGATTAATTCAATGCATACAAGGTTTTCCAGCTACTTAAAGAACGTGTTGTCCATATTTACTAAATAAATGTACACGGTGTTTTTTTAATAGCACAATCCCTACAAGTTTTATATTGATTGTCTGATCTATGTCAAATTTGACATCCAGGGTTAGATGATGACAGCAGTTACATTGTTTCCAGGTTGCTACTTTTTAGATATAGTAAGGACACATGTTAATTAGAACACCTTTTTAATCTTTACTTATTGCAATGGAACAGATACAACACTTTCGTACATTACCATTATTACAATGATATAATGTCATGAGTTTATCTCTAACAGTAAGAGAGTCATGGCCAAAAGGAGTGTGGCCTAAACATAATTTCACAGCGGTTTCACATCAAATAATTTTCCGGTTGCGTCCGGTGTTCCTCAGGGATCCATCCTGAGTCCATTATTATTTAATATCTTAACAATGTGGTTGATTGTTTGAATGTCCCTCATCTTTTATATGCTGATGATTTAAATGATTTTATATATATTTAAGGACAAAAACTGTTCAGGAATTCTATTAAGGATTTAGGGGTTTATTTTGACCAAGAGTTGAATTTCGCCTTACACATAAATAGAATAATTTCTGAAGTTAATAAAAGTTTAGGTTTCGTAATTCGTAATTCTCGTGAATTCTCTAACGTGGACACCATAAAGATGTTGTACTGTTTCGTCAGATCAAGGTATATTATTTGGGCCCCTAATTATGAAGACCACATTGATCTGTTGGAGAAAACGCAACGGAGTTTTAAAATTTTTACATTTTAAGGAAACGAAAACATATCCTCCTATTGGTTATTCGCAGCAGTCACTTGTAGGAATATACGGTTACAAATCTTTAATGACTCTGCGTAATATGCATAGTCTTATTTTCCTCTTTAATTTGGTTGGTGCCAATATTGATTGTTCAGAGTTACTGTGTAAATTTAATTTCAATGTCCATAGAGCTACCACTCGCACTACTGAGACATTTTATTTGAGAACTGCTAATACAAATTATTTTTATATGTAATGTGTCGAAATTTTGCTAATTTGCTGGACAACATTGAAATTTTCCATACCACGTTACCTATTATTAAGAAATTATTTTTAGGATAAATTTGTTTAATTATCATTTATTGTTTGTCATATATTGTTGTCTTTTCTATGTATTTTCAAGTGTTTTTGGTTTTTCTACTATATTTTGTAATAACTTACTATATTTTTTTGTTTTTCCCTGCTCTGTAACTGGGATTTTCCCGTGAGCAATTGTTATTTTAAATAAACAAATAGTTTGTTAGAAAGTCCTAACTTAAACGTAACTTTATCCTAATCTTAAAACCTTGTCTTTATTCTAATATTTATTAATTCTAGTATTTCTACTACGTTTAAAAAAATATATTTTAACTTAATTAGGAATTAGACAATTCAACGGCGATTTTTGCACATGCGTACTTGTGATCTTAGCCTTAAGCCCTAGAAACTTAAAAGACAGGAACTTTCAATGTCAGGTCTTAAGACCTCCTTATGACTAGCACTAAATTATAATTAGTATAAACCAACACGTTTTTCTACATTTATCTACTTAGGGCAAAGAAAAATAGGATAAAGTTTTTTTTATAAATCTAACACATATTGCACATATAGCATACCTTTTTGGATATGTATATACGTCAGTCTGGAAAAGAGGAGCTGATATATCAGAGAGAATATGAAAATATAAGATTTTTCCTACGGACCATGAGTGTTAATGGATAAATGTAAAAATGTTTCGAATTTTAACAATTCTATAAATTCTAAACAATTAAAAAAAAACATCTCCCCATTATAAGATCCCAATATTTGCTGTTTCTGTCAGCCGTTATCTTCCTACAATTCACAATGATAAATCGTCTAGATATGGGGGCCCCCTCGTCGCGAGTATCGCCACGTGGGCCGATCCTGTCCTGCCCATCTGACCACGCAGATGCGTCTGTTAATGCATCCGACGCCCCCACAGCCGTCCATTCATGAAACCGTTCAAAAATCTCATTGATAATAAAAATTATCGTTTCTAATGCTATCATTTGCATCACAAATGCGGCCGTTGCCATATTCGAACGGTTAATTAGCATGCGACGCCCACGGACCGGCTACACCCACAAATGGACATAAAATTAATTTTTATGTTTCGTCTTTTACAGGTCCAGACGTAATTCAGGACATCGTCCCACAGAACATCATCGAGGAGGAGGAAAAAAGCGTCAAACGTAAGTTGGAGAAAGCTTAGGTCTCCTAGAAATAAGAGAAAATAGCACTTTTACCCCGGTTCCACACTGCGTCGCGCGTTTAGGACGAATATTCGATATTCGGTCGATTTAACGAATATTTCAGTGAAAAGCATTCGTATATTTGCCTGTTGAATCAGTAAATCAACACAAACTCCAGGTCCACATATGCCTTGTTTGTACTTTGTTTGTTTTCGGGAAATTTAACGAATATGTGGAGAAATGGTTCATATTCGTTGGCAAATGTTTGATTTTGGGTGAATACGAATGTTTTCCGTTTTGAGTCGGTAGATTAAAAGACGCGAATAACTTCTTTAGCGCTATTTATAAATATTAAAATTCTATAGTTTGTTTTAATATGGCATGGAATAAGAAATCAATTATCTTTAAACGCAGTTATTAAGTTTGATTTAATTTGATGGAAGAGTGCTGCAATTTTTATAACCTCAAACATTTAAACAATTACCTTAGTTCTAGTACGGATACTTCTGTTGAACTTCTAGGCCGGGGGTTCTCAGTCTTTTTCAAAGACTGTACCCCTTAATGAAAAATTAAAATTTTGGGTATCCCCTTGTTAAATTAAAAACACTTTTTACATCAAAAACACAATATATTTGGAAATATATTTGAAACGCATTACAAAAAATTAATGAGAAGGATGAGCTTGCTTATTTTTACATAGTTCGTCAATGTTCGGCTCAAGTTTTGTTAAGTACAACCTTAAATCGTCGTCAACATTAAACTTGTTTCTGTCTTACTTTTTAGATATGTTGTGCCCCGCGTACCCCTTTAAAATTTTCGCGTACCCCCAAGGGGGTTTGAGAACCCCTGTTCTAGGCAATCAATGAAAGAATATATGGAATTGCATAGATAGTCGAATCAGAAAATTCAATAAAAGAAGCAAAAAATATATATAAATACACCGTTTTCTAAAGAACTGAAATGCAGAATGACTCGCATTATTTTGTATTAAAAGTAGGTATAGCCGTAGGTACTAAATGTTGTGAATTAAGTGTTCTTGGAATATAAAAAAACGATTTTTTTCTCAAAAAGTTTCATACCTCGGAGACGGTGCGTTTTCAGACTAGCCTTGTTTTTACCTCAAAATGTATTTTTAAAGTTTAGGCACTAGGTACCTCTTGGAATAAAATGAAGTTTTATTACTCCATACCATTTCAAAACAGACTATAAGCTGACTTTCGATCATTTGCTAAGGATATTCATATCAATTCACAAATATTTTTCAATATTACTGTGGAGCAATACACAGGGTGTCCAAATTAGTGGCTCCTTTTTCGATCATAGCCCTGCTGTGGGTACGTAATAGATCTAAAAGATGCACATTTTATAATTAGTGACATATAGTACCCACTAAACATTTTTCAGTTTCTGACATGTTTCAGAAACGTTTCCATTTTTCTTGAAACGTTTTATAAAAAATCCATGCAACCTTCTGGTAACGTTCTAGAAGCCCAAGATGTCCTCCCCAAAATACGTTTCCAATGAAACGTTTCAAAAAATTGGTTTCAGTAACATTCTTTTTATGTTCCATTTATGCCCTCGATATTTTTGTTTTACGTTTCAGTATATTTTCAGAAATGTTTGAGTAACATAATAATTTTATTACCATATTGTTCTCATAATGCTCTCAACTTTAGATCATTTTCATTTCAAAAGCGTTTTTGAAATAGTATAAATAGTGTGAGTATTTTTTTAAATATCTCTAATACTCCTTTGTGATATTTTTATTTGTATTGTGAATGACTTAATTCGAACTAAAAAAAGTTACATTGTATATTAAAAAAAATAAATATGCTCTTCTAGTTTGGGGATGCGGCAACTTTTACTAAGAATTTCTTTCTTTTTGAGAAGCCACTGAAAAAAGTTTCTAATATGGATTATGAATTTTGCCATTCATCGTACAAATAAAAATATCACAAAACAATATCAGAAGCATTAAAAAAAAGCTACACATTTTATATAGTTCAAATACGCTTCTGAAATGGAAATTTTCTAATGTTGAGACCTTCATGAATATGGTAACAATGACGAACTGATAATTAGAAAAAGTTAGTTATGATTATGAATCTTAAAATGGTAGGTACATGAAAAACAAATAACATTACTGAAAAATAATATAAAGTTATAATTTCTTCTACGCATGGTCAATATTACATATATCCTTTTAATAATAATAAATTATACAGCAGAAATAAGGATACAAAATGATATCTTGACAAAGTAAATATCTGTAGGTATACCTAAACTCTTTTATTTAAGCATGCCTATACACATAAACAAATATAAACATTTGTACAAAATATAAAATAAATGACGTCTATTTCACTTGATTCATCCATATTTCAAATAGTTCTCACTGACTAAGTAGTTGCTCTTCAAATTATATCGAAACGTATAGTTGTTGTTCCATTTTCTTAGTTCTTGTCCCTTGTCCTCTTGTCTGTAATAGGTAGTGGGTATAACTATATTTAGGTAGATGTGACGCAAAATTGGAAATCTCTACACATATCGTTTTAAACATTTTGCATCAATATTCATTATTTTATATGCACCTTACAATAACCACAACTGCACACACTACAAATTATCACATAAAATAGCGTCAAAGTAAAGATGAATAACAACGAAACCAAGCAAACTGACAAACCGCAAACCTAACCTAACATAATACGAATTGAAACGACACACGGGAAACAAATAAACTCGGGCTGTTACGCGCAGTCTACGCAAGTCACGAACATACATTTTTTCTAGACTTGTGTTATAAATATGCTACCACATTTTTTTTTCTAATTATGTCTTTATATAACAAAGGCAAATGAACTAACGCTTGAGAAGGATTGGGGATTGAGAGCAAAATTTAACTAATGCCGAATGTTCCATAAGATAAGCAAAAATAGCAAAGGGTTGTTCGTCTGTTATGTTTCCGAGATCGAAAGGGAATGTTTCGAGTAATGTTTCAAACTCTCTTCAATTGTAACGTTTCGGCTATGTTTCACTAAATAAGTTTTCAAGTGCTACATTTCTGTAATGAAACAGAAACGTTTCTAGTTAATGTTTCAAATGTTTAGTAAAACATCTCATTTGCAACGTTTCATTTACGTTTCGTGTTTAGTGGGTAATGCTATAAATTGTCTTATTCTAGTTGAAGCCTTCTCAAGTCTGAATTTACTTTTGCCTTAAATACAGTGTTATAAATTTGTATACATTTCATGAAGTCTTTAATGATTTAATAATGAAAATTAATTAAAAATCAATTAAAGTTATTCTATTAAAATATAATAACAATTTAAATTTAAGAATGAATAATATGTCATACAAGAAAGGTTTAATCACGCTGGAAATGTGGAACATAAAAATCTAGAAGGAAAATGTTTTAAATAAGTTTGCAAATTTTTTTTTTATTTTTTACCATTTAAATTAATTTTTATCCTAGATTTATTTTCATATTCCACATTTGGTTGTCCTATGACTGTTCCTCATACTTGTCTTATGAATTTTATTTTTTATTATTATTTATTTAAAATAAGTTTATTTTGAATTGATTTTTATCAAATTTTCATTCTTTTTCGGTATTTTTAGTGGTAAAAAAATATCATTTTTTTGAAGTGTCATCTCAAATATCATCAAAGATACTTCTTGGCATCTAGAAAAAATGAATATAAGGCTGCATTACTACATGTTATAAAATAGAGGACCCGAATTACATATTAATGTACGGAAAATTTCCAAAACAAATAATTTTTACGTTGCCAGCTTTGTCTGAGAACGAGAATGCAAATTTCTTTAAACCAGTTACTTAAAATAGTAGCAAGAGTAGTTTTTTCTTTTTACATCCTCATTTTTGTGGTCGCGCTCAGCCCTCAACTTCCATTTCAGATTACGCCGCTCTTCTGACGGGCCGCTCCTCGCTGGTGTTGAAAAACGAGGCCATATCTCACGACTACAACAAAAACAACGTCGTCGCGACCGGCAGGTTCACTTTCCACAAGAAGAACCTGCACTATTCCTTCTACATATCAGAAAAGGCAGCCAGGCCGCGCTCGCTTCACTTCTTGGATAGCGAGGGCAACATTTTAGAAGATTTCACCCTGTCGCATCCCGGCGGTTTGGTGACCAGCTTGTACCAAAACGCCACGAGGAAAGTGTGCGGGGTATGGAAGAGACTGCCCAAGGACTACAGAAGGATGCTGAAGCAGGAGAAAATGTACGTGGTGCTCATCTGGGGCGCCAAAGATGCGGAGTTCACCCTCAGCGGACAGCTGATGAGATACGTGGCTTTGGCAACGGAACAGTTCAGCTCTCTGCTGGAACCGGCGCCTGGGACGGATCCCACGTTGATGGCGGGAACTGGAGGCACCGCAATTGTCTCCATCTCCACGTCAGTATCATCTTCCTTACATATCGCAATAATCTTCAATGGGTTGTTCAGCAGAGATGAAATTTTGGAGGTCCTCCTCAATGTAACACTTACCTTGGATGAGAAAAAACAAACCATACTGCAAGAAGTAAGTAGATATATATACTTTTTTATATCCCTTGTCCTATGTTATTTCCTTGATATCTTTTACAATGACGCATTTTTTTCAGGATGTCAGAGTTCATAAGCCAGCCACCAATTTGAACCTAGTAGAACTGAGCTCTCCAGTAACTCAAGCCCAGTTAAGGCTGTTAACTAGAGGACGTCTTTTACTCAGCATATCCTCGGCTTCAAAACCCGAAGCCCTTCGCCTAAGCGGCAATGTCATCACCAAAGCCACTTGTGAACTATTCCAGACAACCTTATCCTCAAATCCTTCAGACCACAACGGCAATCCTTATGGAACCTCTGGTTTAGCTTGGATGTACCTCAACAATCAAGGTTCACTGATCTACAGTGTTCAAATCGATAGCTTACCACCAAAACAGTACCCTATTATTACATTGGTGGATCTAAGCACAAAGAGACGAACCGAGCTGGAGGATCTCACTCCCTACTTCCACGATGGATGGGCCAATGGAACTTTAGACAAACTAAGCCCTAAAATTCTAGAACCCTTATATAATGGCAAACTTGATGTCAATGTAGCTGTCTCCAATTACACTGCCATTCATGGCAGGCTTATCAGCAAACCAGTGGCAGATGCAAGAGATGCTGCCGCTCCCATCTTGTTGAAAAGAGAGAACTACACACTACCCGCCTCTGCTGTTGGGTTGGCTTGGATTTCGGTGGACAGTGATTGTCACATTCACTACGATGTGACCGTTTCTGGACTGGGAACAGACAAAAAACTTGACCTGGACATGGAATTGTACCCAATGATAGCACCCGGTGCTCCTTTTATAAGTAAACATTTAGAGGAGTTCCAGGACAATCAGGTAGAGGGCAGTCCTGTCGAGGCTCTTACCAAGGAAGAACTCAGCAGATTGGACAGTGGTGTCAACTTTATAAAAGTGAAGGAGAGGGACACGAAAGTTATCCTACTTACGGCAATAGTAACCAAAGTAAGTTATTCACTTCGAATGTTTTTACATACAAACATATTGCTGTTCCATTGTTGAATGGTATTTAATTCAAAATTAAAGTAGTCATATTTTGTTAATGAAGTATGAGATCTATACAGTTTTTTAGAGGATAGTTTCTTGACCTGCAACTTTCTTGACAAAAAATTACCAAATATAAAATTAAAATAGAATTGGATGACCCTGGAATCTCGAAAAGAGTTGCACATATATCTGCAAATAACTGTTTCCTTATTTTAGAACAGATGTATCTTTATTCTACACAAAAATTTCATTCTTTTTAAAGTTACAGCCTTATGAAGTTTGAAAAATGGAATGTTAGTGTCAAATTGAAATTTAAATAAAACGATTTTTGTTTCAATATTTATGTTTTTCATCAAATCGTCAAAATGATTCATGCACCATGTATAGTAATAACATATTTAGTACTTGAAATTAAATAAACAAACAAAATTCAACAAGAATAGTTTCCCTTATAGCAAAATCTGCCCGTGGATACAATGTACCTGCAACCCTTTTCGCAGTTTCTGTACTGGCCACTTCTATTTTTTTATTTTACAAATTTATCTATGTAAGCCTAGAAATCATCCCATAAAAAATGCCATCGGTCTATGCTTCATCATCAAAATGTGGCCGGTTATCATAAAATTCAAAACATATTTTTATATTCTAGGTGAAAGTGCCTCCACCTTGTCGTGCCCCTTACACAGACAACAATGTTCCAACCCTGTTTGACCACCCTGAAGTTGTCTCCACAGGTGAATGCTTCTACGAAGACAAATTTTACAAGGAAGAAACTTCCTGGGTCTCCTCCAGGGAACCCTGCAAGATGTGTTTCTGCCAGAACGGTGTGCCCAAATGTGACATCATGACATGCCCGCAGTTGGACTGCCCTACCAACAATGTGACTGTACGAGGAGAATGCTGCCCAGTATGTGTCGAAAGTCTGACCAATAGAGACACGACCCCACAGAAATGTATTTTCAATGGCAGGACCTACTCGCCCGGAAGCAAATTCAACCCCTTTTTAATACCAACTGGTTTTGACCGATGCACCGAGTGCGAATGTGACGCCAAGGATCTAGAAATAAAATGCACCAGGCTGAATGACAATGAGAAGACTTGTTGCAAGAACTGTAACAAGAGTACGGTAAATGTGGACAATCCGATGAATGATGACCAGGTGCCTCTGATTGAAATCAACTATCCTCCTTCGAGGAAAGAGATGTCCATGAAGTCTGCAGAACTGGTGCTCATGGAGGGTGGTTGCAAAAATCTGAACAATCCCGTAAAACCTTACCACAATGGCAGCGAATATCATCCTTTCATAGACTCCTTAGGGGAGTATAAATGTGTGACTTGCAAGTGTCAAGTAAGTATACATAACGCACCTCTAATCCTTCTTTTACTTGATTTTATTTCTACTCAGGCTTGTTATTCCTTCTTTAATAACTTTCCATTCAATAAATCGAGCAAAATATGTACCAAAAGTTTGACCAACCAAAAAATTCCCTGATGATTCGCAAATTTTTCGGATAGATTTGAACAATTTTCCAGGTTCAGAAAATGTAAGCCCTATCAATGACCATAATTTCTCAAATGTTTGTTAATATTTACCATGTAACTATACAAGGTTCTTCACGGTAAGTGGCCTGTTAGACGTTTCAAAGAAACCAAAGACAATGTGACGCTGAAATTTTGCTCTTCAATGAAAATAATGCCATCAACGTAGCACTTCCGGTTATACCAGAAGTAGTTGTTAACTTCGTTATTTGAAATGGAACACCCTATATATTATTGTATTATTGACAAGATAAATTAGAAATAAGTCAAAAATGTTAAAGCTTCCCTGTAAATCTAACCGTTTTTAAGATAATCGTCATTTTTCAAAAAATTTTACAAATGCAAGCATTCTTCGTTCTGGGAGCGTTCACTTGCTTTTCGGAATACACAAAGAATATAAGATACACTACCTTCCGCTATCAAAATTACCTGAAGAAAATTATACTATTATAAGTGTCTCATTTTTCACGTTACAATTTGAAAACATAAAATGGACAAAACATTTTAAATTCAAATGGAACACTCTGTATTTTTCTGCATCATATTATAGAAAATCAAATTCTCTTTTCACCGATATAGGCGTTGTAGGGGTTACAGCTTCAATTTTCTCAGATATTTGCAGTTTTCTTATCGAAAAAGTACTTGATACTGGTAGAATACTGAGAAAATTGAAACTGTAACCCCTACAAAGCTTATATCGGTAAAAAGAGAATTTAATTTTTCTATAATATGATGCAGAAAGATGCAGGGTGTTCCATTTGAATTTAAAAAATTATGACGGTTTTAAGTTTTCAACATGTAACGTGAAAATGGGACACTTAATATAATTTTCTTCAGGTAATTTTGATAGGAGAAGGTAATGCATCTTAAGTTCTTTGTGTATTCCGAAAATCAACTGAAAGCTCCCATAATGAAGAAAGATATAAAGAATTTTCGAAACGCTTGCATCTGTCAAAATTTTTATAAAATGTCGATTATCTCGAAAATGTTTAGATTTAGGTACAGGGAAGCTTTAACATTATTAATATTATTATTAATAACTGTATTTGTTAATTCAATTTAATATATTGACAAAAGTGTATCTCAATGAAAAAGTATTTAAGGGGCATAAAAATAAAAGCACCGTAATTAATTGGGAAAAAATACTTAATAGGTATTTGTTCGAAGAGCCATTCAAACCAGTTTGGGATCAGTCAGAAGCAATCATCTAGCTACTTCGTTTATGTTATACTTGTGGGAAATAGCACAGAAAGTAGCTGGACGACTGTTTCTGACTGATCCTCCTGAACTAGTCTAAATAGCTCTGTGAACAAAGCTATTATTTCGATATGAAAATCCAATTTTAATATAAATAGATCAATACTATTAGAATTTTTATGATATCCATATTTTTGTATGTACTTAAGTTTTATTATTAATTTTGGCTGATTAGAATAATGTCATGTTGCTGAAAACAGAATTAAACTATTTTAATGACAGTTGACAAAGCAAATATACAACGCAGGCTGATAGAATTTACTGTTAAAAAAATATAAAAATTTATATATGTATTTTTTTAATTCCAGAATGGAACCCCAAAGTGCCAGAGGCAGCACTGTGACTCCACGACGTGCAAAAGGATGATAGAGATGAGGCGAAAGAAGATAACCATAAATACGTCAGATTTCTGTTGTAGTCTGAAAGAGTGTAGAAAACTTCGACATAGGAAAAACCGCAAGCCGCACAACAGCTGAATTAGTGAGAATGAAACTGAAGGAATGTCAGGAATGTGACTTTTCACTTTTTTTTTTTTGGAACTTTTAATGGGCTAAAAGTCCAAAGTTACCCCTTAACCAAAGAAGACTGAGGCAGTTGTAAGGAAGGAAGAGCTGTCATATTTATTTGTATTTAGGTTTTTAATGAGCATATATATTGTATATTTTAGTTACTTAAAAAGTAGGCACAGTCAAATAAGTACTAAATGAGGTTATTTAGATTATTTATTTTTGTTATTTTTTAATTTTGTTACTCTGAACTGGCGTAGAGGTTTCGGTTTCATTATTTGACTGTGCTTGGAAAACTATTTAACAATCTATTTATTTGACAAGAAGATAAATTATTCCATAGTTGTAAAAAGAGTTTCTACGAGCTAGAATACTCAATACTCACTAGAGATGAAGGCTGAATAGATCGTTGGAAAAAAACAGAAACGATTTTAACAGATTATGTATAATATTTATACTCTTATAATTAGGTTCGTCGTGTGTGCACCCCTATGGTCCGGGTGTAAACTATGTACAGGAATTAAAGAAAATTTTTTCTGTTTTCTTCCTGTTCGAGAATGATATCAAAAAGTTTACTATGCAGATGGACGTAAAAATTTCGTATTTTAGTTCAACTGTATGTTTAGTAGGACATATCATATTTGGTGCCATACCAAAACAAATTTTAGGTACTTAAGCATAAGTTTTGTCATAAGAACTTGCCTGATCGGAAACAAAATATACTAAAAGTAAATCTGCGATTAGGTAGGTCCTTTGCAGAACTTCTACCCTATTCTCGTAGGAGCATTTATATAAATTACAATTGGAATCTCCCTTGCAATATTACAGTATTTGGCTAAATTATTCTAGGCTATGATGTAGTATTTACGAGTGAATGTGATTTTATCCCATTAGGACTCTATTTTAGAGTAAAATCTATTGTATATATTATTTTCTCTATGCAGAACGTACAAGATGGTGCAAAAAATCTTTAGCTTTACACACATTTTCTGCTCCATCTTGTATCCTATATACGCTTTGTAAATTTTGTTTAGTCATAAGCAACAGACGTACGTAATTTAGTAATAAAGGACTTATATAACTAACTTTTTTATTAAGTTGTAATATATAGTGATAATGTGGGCCTCACAATATTGCATTTGGTAATATTACTTATTTCAAATGAGATTAGTTGTCAGTGGATTCTGTAAATATTTTAGCAAATGCAGTATGTAACAGTAAAAGCTATATTTAAAAATAAGTGTACCTGCTAGCTAGGAATATATGCTTCATTAATACACTCACTAGCCTTTAATTTTCCACCTCCCAAAGTACGGGTTACACACAAACACACACATGAATAAAATTCGTTAGTTGCACTACCCTGATGGTACTCGCAAAACAAATAAAAATTAGACCAATAATTTTTATTCATCTTTGACATTGAATCTACATGATTGTTTGCAAAAGTAACTATTTTCTATAACTATATAATTCTTGTGTTGTTATTAGTTTGTTTATTCCTTTTACATCATTACCACTTTACTATGAACAAAGGAATATTTATATAAAAATAATTACTTACACAAATAATGTTCAAAGGGACGAAGTTGAAGTTAGAGCTACCATGTTGCACAACAACCAATCACCATTATCACCAAAAACAAAAAACTGTCAGTCAACAGTCAACAAATAATCAAAGTAAGCTCTTCTGCCGCCAACAATAAACTATTGTGCTGCGCCTTTACAACATTATGGCGCACTAAATGTGAAAAGAAATCTGCAATAACTGTAGCTAACATAATTAAACAAATTTTAGATAAATACTCATTTTGGTAAGCATGAAGTAATTAAGTATAACTAAATTACCTATTTTGAACACTAGATACTGGTAGTTTCAATTTTATGTGGCTCTATAGTGGCGACATCTTCAGGTTATTGTCGAAATTGTGATTAGAAATTTAAAATTTCATACAAATAGGTGTAAGGATTTGAGTAACAAATTTATTTCATTCTTGGAAACAGACTAATGTACTTTCCATGCTCGAAGCCTACCACTAGTTAATAAACATTGTTCTTATTCCTTTTCTTTTATATAGAGAAAATATCTAAAGGCTAGTCTAATAAAAGGAAGGCAAACTTATTCCTTATTTTATTATTATTATTACTTATTGAGTTGTAACTCAATTTAACATAACATGTTTATGTAAAATAGGTAATTAATTTATAATTTTGAACTTCGTTTAGTTCTCGCTTCTTGGAGCGCTTCCGCCAAAACTTTTAATACAAGGTCGACATTTTGTGGTGTAGCGTTATAACCCATTAAACCAATTCTCCAAATTTTTCCTGCGGTTGGACCTAGACCCCCACTAATTTCCAAATAATAACTGAAAATGAATGTTTAAATATAGTAAAACTGATATCGATTAACTTCATATGGAAAACAGAGAGAAAACAAAATAGATGAACAATTATTGGAAAAATAAACAAACTGCAGAAAGTACATATTATTATTTACTGACTTTTTCATGGCATAGTCGACAACTTGCTTCCAGTCCACATTTTCTGGGATGGAAATTGCTGTAACAGTTGGCAGTCTCTTGTGAGCATCTTCAACGAATGGCTGAAGACCTAATCGTTCTAAGCCGTGGTAAAGCTTTTGTGCACATAACTGGTGTCTTTTAATGACATTCTCCAGGCCCTCTTCAACTATCTGGGCCAGGCCTTCTCTCAACCCAAAAAGTAAATTAGAGCAGGTAGTATGATGATACCTAATATAAAAAAATAAGTTTAATATAAATTTCAATAACTAGGTGTATTTATTCTGTATATTCTACAAAATGATGTATTTTTTAAAGAATAAATAAATGGAGAAATACTTTATGAAACTATTACATTTTATAGATATCCGTTAGCATCATAAGAAATATTTGTATATACAAGGTGATCAATTGATATATATATTTTCGGTATTGTATTTTCAGTGACAATTACTCAAATGTACATTAAAGAAAAAAATTAGATATTGGCACTATTATTTATTTCCCTGTTTTGATGCCATTGGAAACAACTTTTAGTTATAAGACTTTTTTCTATTTAGCATTTTTTAATATTTTCAACTGTTTTTGTGACATTAAGTTGAAAATCCTGAAATTCTCGGCCTTGATATATGAAAAATAACTGAACTTGATGAACCATTTACTTAAATTTATTTTCTTCAAAATTAATGTAGGTATATAAAATATATTTCTGCAGATTTCTAGACTTCTTCGCATATTTCTATGACTCAGTTTGTAATCAAATTACTTACGGCCTAACATTGTTGAAGCAGTTCCATTGTCGCCCCAACTCTGTCATATCCCAATAGAAAACGGTAACTGGTGTCTTCCTTTCAAATATTACCTTTCTAAAGTAAAAATTTCCTATTAGGAACACGCTAGAATGTTTTTTAAAAACTTACTGTGCTCTGGGACTAAAGGAAATAGGTGCAAGACCTGGCGGGGCCCCTAAGACCTTTTGTGATCCAGTATAAACGGCGTCTACTCCCCATTTATCAGCAAAAAAGGGTACTCCTCCTAAGGAAGCTACAGTATCCACAGCAAATAAACAGTTGTAACTGAAAAAATAATTATGTAGTTATAAAAAATATCACAGTAGAGATTTTACCGATGACATATATCTCCCACGCCCTCCAACGGCTGGTAAACTCCTGCTGAACTTTCTCCTTGAACGATAAATAAAAGCTTGGGTTTCACTCGTTGAATAGCATTTTCTAAAAGAGCTAACGAGAAGTTTTCACCTGTTGGAACACTAACTGTATTGACTTCAGCACCTAAGGAAAAAATAGTTATTGCGAAATTATTTTTATAATAGGAATCTTAGAAAGAGTGTTCCGTCAGTTATTTTAAACCAAAAAGTCCAAATGCACCATTGGTTTTTAGGAAACAATGAGTTAAAATTTAGAAAAGTATCACGTTTATTCAAATATTTCTGAAGATTTTGACCTAGACTTTATATTGTCTGTAATTAAAGATAAAAGTTCGCTAAAGTGGTGTATGAATCAATCAACTAATGGTGACGATACTACTGAGATATTCCTTAAGAACTCCTGAGAATATCTATTAATTTATTCAAAAAGGAATGCTTTTTGATTTAAAATTATCAACTATTTTTTATGGTATTGGTAATTATTTTAAAACTATTAAACATAAAAAAAATTGTTCTTAATTACCAATTACCTATCACTAACAAACAAAAAAAAATATTTTTATAGCAAACATTGAAGGAGACTACTGTTCACAGCTATAAAGTGTTTCAGTTGATAAATATGTCGTTATTAAACTCTGTCAAGGATATCTAAGTGATATTTTTCATTTTGTGACATACCATTCTATATTGGAGATAGATTACATTTATTTCTTATATGTGGTTCCTTAGCCACTCTGAAAAAATATTATTTAAATATTCCCTAAAATTAGCTAAGTATATAATACTGGAAGTTTGCATAAAGAGACCATTCGTCCTGGATTTTACAGGATTGTCCCGATTTCAGGTGAGCCCTCTCGCATTTACAACGTCCCAGAAAATGCCCCAGATTCATTTATTCCTTCCCGCATGTTATGTTCATGTAACAGTAACATTATAATAATATAAACGAAAAACTGAAAATTAAATGCATTATAATTTCGAACGATGATAATAAAAATAAAGGTACAAGCGTTGGTGACACTGTACGTCTCGAATGCTATTTATGTCGAGGATTCCTCGAATATGTATTTGGTGGGTTGGCACTGGCGTCAATGTCATTGAGAAAACAATTGTTTAATTTTACATTATGAAACGGTAAAAAAGAATCTATTGGTTCGCTTGAAGAATTGTGACAAAGAATATAAATCTCTGCCAATGAAGTCAGACGCAATACCAATATGTTGTTTCAAACTCGAAAATCTCTCAGAAAACGTTGTGTAAAGTGTATCAGTGTCAACGGTGGACTCTTCGAACAATTACTTTAAATCATTATTACATATTTCATTTGTTTTATTGTTAATTGTTGTAATAACATGAAGAAACACTTAGTTTGTTTCACTTTTAATTTCTCATATTATCAAAACACAGTGTTCGTTAAATCGATTTTTCTCGAAAACGGCTCGAGATACCGAAATGAAACAAGAGAACATAATTAATGGAAAAATGATTGCTCTTTCAGGTTTTGAATAAAATTTCATTTAGACATACAAGGTAAAAAGTTATTAACTGAATGTTTGGTAAAATTGGTCATAAGTGGCGCCCTCTATGAGCAACGCTGAAAATGCAACATGCATCTTATTCTTCGCTTAAAAAAATATAGTTTCAAAAATTCCTAACCTACATATTTTCAGAATAATCGCAGAAAAACGATTTAAAATTTTAACTGTCAGCACCCTGTATTTTAGAAACTATCAACTTTCGGATAAGGCATGTTTTGCGCCAATGTCACCATTTCACGTTTAGTATCTTCAGCTTTCGATTTTCCGATTGTTACTGAATCACCCTGTATAATTAATTATATCTGAGAAATTTGTGAAAGATCTAAATAATGTATGAAAAAATTACACATTCCATTCAAAAGAAATGATGACACCACGGACACTTTAAAAATAGAACTGAACCTGTCTGATCATGCTTCAACAAATCAGTTCTTACAAAAATGTCAAATTTATCCTTTCTTACAAGTGTTTTCAAAATCAAAAAAAGGTACCGATAGTTTCATATACATATACATATTTTTTACCATATCGCCTTGCCATATCTGAAGCACGTATGCCCCAGATGCCATTAACAGCAATTAGAACCTTATCACCGGGTTCCAAGAGGTTGCTGATTACGGCTTCCATGCCAGCATGACCTGCTGCACTTACAGCTAATGTCAATTCATTGCTTGTTTGAAACACGTATCGAAGTCCTTCTTTAATCTCATCCATTACCTGAAAATTTAAAATTATTGCAAATTTAAATGGTAGGTGTACCTGTATATAAAGAGAAGTTTATAAACAGAATATAGGGAACTATTTGGAAAAATCAATTAAACTGTAAATAACATCAGAAATTGCTACATATTTTTTTTACTTTTTCGTCAGGAAAGAAATAAAAATTTCTTATCTATTAAAAATAAATTTATTCATAACAGTTGACGTGTCATTACTGGTTGCATAACAATAGTTGCTTTCTCTTGGGATTTTGAAAGACCGCAACAAATCAGAAATTCCTCCCATCAAACAAAAAAAAAACAGCAATTTTTTCAAAAAGAGGTCCCAAAGGTTCTACGATATTTCAAAGATTGGATATGAAAGTACATACAGGGTGAGTCAGTTTTTTGTAGTATAATTTTAACAGTTGATAGAGAATCATTTTTTAATAAGAAAAATTCCTATAAACGTAGGTCTTAGAACACTTTGTTTGTGAGATATAGGGTGTTGAAAACAAACTTTTTTTAATAATTTCTCTTAATATCTCTAAAAGACCAACATATATTAAATTGAAATTTGGAATTAATAATACATTAGTTTCCATTTCACCCACCAGTGAAGTGCCTGAGGTGGGTTACTGCCCCCTTTAAAAAAATAATTCGTACGCCCGTGGATTTTTATGGAACATAACATCATTTCTAAATTTTTTAATCAATTCTGAACAAAACAGCTCTCTTTCAATTTTTTATAAAATTAATTCATTTGACATGAAACTGTTCCAACGATACTGGTACCTAATACATTTGTGAATTAATAAGAAAAATATGATGTACACTGAAAATCAACAAAAACCATTGAATGAATAATAACAGTTGATAGAGAATCATTTTTTAATAAGAAAAATTCCTATAAACAAACATTTTTAATAATTTTTCTTAATATCTCTAAAAGACCAACAGATATTAAACTGAACTTTGGCATGAAAAAACAAACACAGAACATAAAAATAGAACTAATTGAAACATACGTCACACAATGTTCGCGTTCTTATGTCAACGTTATGACATTTAATTGTTTTTGATGATTTTCAGGGTAACATCATATTTTTCTTATTACAAATGTATTACCAATATCGTTGGAACAGTTTCATGCCAAACGAATTTAACCAAAAACCGTTCATTTTATAAAAAAATGAAGAAGAGCTGTTTTGTTCAGAATTGATTAAAAAATTTAGAAACTATGTTATTTTCCAGAAAAATCCACGGGCGTACGAATTATTTTCTTAAAGGGGGCAGTAACCCACGTCAGGAACGGCACTGGTGTGTGAAATGGATAACAGATATCCTTGTTTTATTCACCATAACTAATGTGTTATTAATACCAAATTTCAGTTCAATATATGTTGGTCTTTTAGAGATATTAAGAAAAATTCTTAAAAAAAGTTTGTTTTCAACACCCTATATCTCACAAACGAAGCGTTCTAAGACCTACGTTTATGGAACTTTTCTTATTAAAAAATGATTGTCAACTGTAAACTAACTCACCCTGTATATTTAAAATATAAACTTTAAACTTGACTATATGTAAAATTTGGTTAAAAACTAACCAGTCAGTGGTGTTGAATTTAGAAGGGACTGAAGTGGTTTTAACTGAAAAAGATTTACTTGATGTATGTCTACATCCCTTTTTTTTTGAAGAACATGAAAACGTTGACAGTAAAAATCCAAAAACCACGGATGATAAAGTTTGAGGCATTTTTAGCAGCGAAGCATAGATAAAAATTAGAATATACTGAAGTTTTACACAAATTCACATTTATTTGAATGGCGGGCAATAAGGCGAATAGATTTAATCTTTCTACAGTTATGTATTTTTAATTATTGAGAAATTAAAGTTAAGTAACTAACTTTTATCAACGATTCACTCAGCAGCGTAGCTATAAATCAAGTGGGCCCGGACAACAGATTTTTGGAGGAATACCTTTATTCAATATTCGCCAATTACAAAAAACACTTTTATTATTATATTAAAGTTTAAAAGGAACAAACAAAAAACAGCTTGTACTTTAACCGAATTTTTTATATGAAACAAAAACTTTGAATTTAAAACTTCGAGTCTGAATAAAAAAATGATTCTGTATTATAAATTGATGAAGTTTAAGATAATAAAGATTTAAGTAATGCTGATTAAGGCCAGATTTCTTATAAAAAAAATCGTAATGAGTTTAGTAAGTACTTACTTGCATCTAGAAGGCCATTTATAAGTATATAAAAAATTTATTCCATTAGTTTGTGCTCATGAAAATTTACAGGGACGTCCTGATTCTTAATGGGCCCTGATGTGTTAATTATAGGTATGATTTTTTTCTGGTTTATCATCTTATTTATTTCATAAATTTTTCTGATGTAACAGAAAAATGGCGCTTTACCTTCAATTTTTTTTTATATCTGACAAGCAAAACTAAACTTTTTAAAAATAAAAATGTATTTCAAATTACTTTTTTTATGACCAGGAGTAGAAATTTTCTCATAAAACAAAATACGATCAGTATGCTGCAGAGCTACATAAGGGTGCTGCAAAGATATTTTTGCACGGTTCTATGTAGGTATCAATTTTTATAAATGTATGCACAAAGCAATAGCTAGCGCACAGAGCATGTTTTTGTAACTCGACAAATAGCCACGACAAATTTAATATGCAAAAATGGACAGCTATTATTCTAATATTCAAAATACTGTATTAGAAAAAATGTTTACTTTATACAGAAAATTTATAAGTATGAATTTCTGTGGACTTGAAAAAGTGTGACCGCAGTAAAAGTATTATGCGGAAATGCTAATTTCCCACTTGCTTTCAAATAGCACTTTTTTGCACTTGTTACATTTCTATCAAACAGGATCTTTTCCCAAAATGTCAAATTTCAATTTCAAAATTTTTTGAAAAGAGATCTGGAAACGCACTGTACATATTAAATGTTGTGTTGTTAAATGTTGGTTATTTAGGTGTTTCTTAACTAGTATATACACTTACTGATTTTGTAACCATTTCTTTATATAGGACATCAACTTCAAACTCTATTTTATACAATACCTAATAACAATATTACCCCAGTTTGCCCCACCATATCTACGCCACTGGATTCGCTGCTGACGAGCACCTAACTATGTCATGTGTTCGGCCTCTATATTATAACCGTATGAATTGTGCATTGTCCTCTCAAGATTAAGAAGCACATATCTTTTATTTGAAATTGAACTACCTAAACTTATAAAAAGATGTAAAATAACTTTTTTGACACCTGAAAGAGCTTTTTTTAGCTTTTTAATTTTTGACTTAATATTAGTATTAATATAATATGCGTGTGTGTGCGAGTGTGAGTCTGACTATACTACGTATTTGTATGTGTATTGCACAAGCATGTATGAGTGTTGTGTATGTATATGTAAGTTATACTGTTTTTTACATTGTTTTAATAACACTTTATAATTTATTTATATTATTGCTTTTAATATGTGTAAGTTACTTGACTTTCTGAGGGGTAGGCTAATTATCAGTTATCTGTGTCTAGTCCTTTTGTGTATAGGTTGTATATTGTCTTATAACTATGCACAATAAATATTTTTTACCTTTACCTTTACCTTAAAGACCTCGGGTCCCTTGTAAAGACGCGACCAGTGGGTTTTTTATAACAGGCTTGTTTTGGTTCTGTCAGCGGACAGTACTAGAACAGTTCAGAATAGTTACCCAACTTAGATGTTCTTATGAATGGAATGCTCAACTATTTTGAACCGTCTTAGAACTAGTCTTTCTCGAAATTAAAACACACTTCATATATTACATGTATAAAGCATTCATAAATGTTTACAAGCCACGAGACCGCCGAGGTTACGCAACCAACATTGCACAACTGGTACTGGTAGCGAAAAATCCCTAAATCTTGGCGTCACCAATATTAATTATTCGTTTACAATGAACAATGACAAACCCTTACGTCTACGGTCGAGATAATACCATAGCTGATTGGTTGAATGGAATATCGTGAAAATTACACCAATCACAACCGGTGAAACAAAGTGTTGTGTTTTAATGTAATCCTGATCTTATTGTTTTAATAATTTTTAATTTTACCAATTGCCAACGTAAAGGAAATAAAATTCAGTTCCAAACATAATTATATAGGTAGGTACTGGTCACGTGGCTTCTAATCATTTATGAATGCTACAAAGCTACGAAAAAACTGCACTGTAACTGTAACAAGTCTGTGGCAATATCTTGAGTAGTTCTTGAATAATTAATCAAAAATTGTGTTTCATGTAGAATTCTTGAACAGTTTTAGAGAAAATCTACTCCTAGTGTAGGTATTACAAAAGAAAAATCACAAGTACATACACACATAATCACAGATTATTGTTTCAGAAAATATGTCTCAATGTAAGTAAATCTGAAATTTCGTCTAGATTTCTTTAAATGGTCGCCTCTCTTACCTGGAACACCTCACTGTGCATATGCCCCAATACATTCCTCCCGATTGCGTACAATACCCTCGGGGAACAATTTGACGGGCCTGGCCCCATCAACGTCTTGTAGGGGACATTTACAGGGTTTTTCAAAACTTCTGGAGGTTTCGTATCCATGATATCCGAACTAAAGAACAGTCACTACTGTCACCAATTATTAATGTCTATGAATATAATCATTCCAAACCAAGTTGTTATTGTTATTCGAATAGTGCTATCTAATATTGACCCTTTATACTGTAATATGTTAAACAAACACAAGCGAAATAAGATTATTTGTGAGTTCAGACTGAAATAGCCAACTAATTAAAATAAAATATTTAAGGCAAATAGAGGTGAGAAAAAAATCATTATTTTATTTATGACAAGGACGTCTGTTTTTAATCCCTTAGTATTTTTAGATTTCTTCCACTTTTATATCAAATTATCGATACGAATGAGTTAGGAAAATATAATATTTGTCTTGTAATTAGCAAATTAGATTACCCCCCAGGGTCGTAGCCAGCAAAAATCTGTAGGGAGGGCTTTTGGTTACGATAAAATTTCATTATTATAGAGTGCGGTCCATATACGCGGACAAATAAATTTTCCAAGGTTTTCCAGGGTAATTTTTAAGAATTCTAAAATATGATATTGTCCTGTGAAACAATTTTTCCCTTATTTCACCTTAACACTGGTGTACATTCCTCCAATTTTTTAAATTAGAATGATGGTTACGTGACACCTTTAAAAAAAAATAATTTTTCTATTCCTTATTCCGTAATATAATTTCTCTTAAATTCGTTCATTACCGACAAAATGAAATTTGAAGATTAATATACTGACTGTCACGATTTATACACAGACAATTAACACAAGAAAAAAATAAATGAAGTTTAAGTATTTATTGTTAAATTACTGCAGCTTCCTCAAAATTGCCAGTTCTAAGGTTGCTACAATTTTTTTAACTGGCAGTTGATATGTTTTGATTTTATTTCAAGTATTTTACTATTATTCATTTAATACTCAGTTTTTTTGGGACGCTCGATGCAATTGATTTTTTTTACAAGGGGCCTTCAAGATGTTCGTCGAACCAATTATTATGATCTAGTTGAAAATATATGACCTGCTGTAATGTTTATAGAAACGATTTCTGGGTGAATTAATTCCCGATTTTTTTATAAAATCTAGATATACAAGCTCTTACAAATTCGCTTCTCACTACAGGGATCTCGGAAACGATAAGAGGCATGAAGGTAGCTTAAATGGGGGCAAAGTTACATAATCAGAGGACCAACATTATGCCTCTAAAAAAATCAGGGCTAGCATGATTAGTTTTCGAAATATTTGGAAAAAACCGAAATTTTGGAATTCCGTTTTGGTTTAATTTAAGCCTTGTTTGAGCAGATATTGAAAAAAGAAGAATCGCATAGTCATACTTAATTCGACAAGTTGTTGCGTCAAAATTATAACATTACTACAATTTTAATTTCATTATGACAAATTAATTCTTAAAAATGCATAGGAATAATCAAAACTCCAAATACTTCAAATCCAAATTATATTTTAAAAAATTACGATACCTAAATGTTCAAAAACGTTTCCGTTTTGGCAAATGTTGAAAGTGAAGATAAGCATAATATTATACTTGTAACCGCAACTGACTGCGAAAGAGCATGACAGATGTATTTGTATGAATATCCTGAAAAAAATTAGATCGAAATTTGTTTGAATTTTGAGCACTTGAGAAACCTAGAAATAACAATAAGCACGGGATTAAAACTCTAATAATGTTTTATTGTAACGTGTGATGGTAAATAACCAGATGGATTTCACTGAGACTAACGACACTTAGAGTGTACGATAATTCAACAAACATAGAAATCTTAAAAAAATTAGATAAATTTGGAACGAATACATTGAAGATGAATTTTTAATGACAAAACGTCTGAATCTGGTTCGAACTGAGGCAGTAGATTATTGGGGGTCATGAAGGCTTGCAAAAAATGTAATAAAATTTCCAGGGTCGTGTTTAAAAATATGAAGTTGATGATGGTTCTCGGGAGACGAAACGTTACATATAAAAATTGATTATGCCATTCGATAGAGGGCAAAAAGTGGCCATGAGAAAGTGTTCTTTTTTCAATATCACCTCAAACAAGGCTGAAATTAAACAAAAACGGATTTCCAAAATTTCATTTTTTTCAGATATTTCGAAAACTAATTATGTTAGCCTTGATTTCTTAGAGGCATAATGTTGGTCCCCTGAACTTTGCCCCCATTTAAGCTACTTCATATCTCTTACCGTTTCCGAGATCCCTGTAGTGAAAAGCGAATTTGTAAGTCTGTATAGCATTAATTTAGATTTACTTAAGAATTTAGAATCTATATCTCAAATTTCATAACTTAATGCATACTTATATTTTCAGTTTTAGTTTCCGTTTAAAAATCTAGAAGAAATTGAAAATGCCTGAAGTTACAAACTTACTATTTAACTAATTACTTACTGGTTATTACAATTGGTAAATAATATAAATTGGCTGTGGCTAAAATTGGAGGAATAATAGATCCTAACTAACGTTAGGAAAATAAATTATATGCTTACTTTACCAGTTACCACAATTAGCATTGACTAATTTTTAATCATTCTAGCATTTCCAAAGTCCAAATTTTAAAACGTAATTTTCGAAAATATAAACCTTTAAATCTGTATGAAAAATAAGATTTTTGTTATTAAGCGATGCTGATTCAGATTACGTAGCCAATTTTTTATAAAAAAATCCAATTGATTTTTCCAAAAACCGCTTCTGAAAAAAAACAGCAGCAAACCATAAATTGCCAACTGGATCATCGTAACTGATTTATCAAATGTATCTAGAAAACCACTGAATACAAAAAAAAAATCATTCGAGTCGTCCCAAACAAATTTTATTGTTTGTCCACATTATTAGTGGGCCACACCGTATATATTTAAAAAAAATGCTGTTGGTTGAGCGAAGGTTTGACGCGGACTTGACTTTTCTCTCAAACTTCAGATATATCGAACGGAATTTTTTTAAACAGCCTGTACATAAGACAAATCTGAAACTCTATTGTTTCGCTATTATACAAAAATTGGAACTGATGGTGCAGATTTTTTTATACTTCTTTTACTTTAGGTACTTATTGCAGTACCTTAACAAAATAGATAGTTTGATTTTTATGTACTGTGCACTTTTTAAAATTTCTTATGTATACATATACAAGGTAGGAAAGTACCGATGGTCTATCTGAAGTTACGTGAGAGCGATAAAGTAAGCCATAGAAATCCATGCGATAGAGTAGGATGGCTATAATGAAGGCCTCTCATAGTCACCACCCGTTTCGCCCCTGCACATATAAGATCCACTTCTTATTTGTGGAAGGGTGAAATGGGCGTTGACTATTAGACGCCTTCATTATAGCCATCCTTGTCTATCACATGGATTTCTATGGCTTACTTTATCGCTCTCACGTAACTCTATCGCATGGATTTCTATGGCTTACTTTATCGCTCTCACGTAACTTCTGATAGACCATCGGTACTTTCCTACACTGTATGTATTATACAGGGTGAGTCATTAATAATGGTACACAGCTTACTGGCAGATTGCCAAACATACCTTTATCAATTGTTGCTCCTTTTCGTTTTACAGGGTGTTAAAGTTAAAAATATATTTTTGATTTTTTGCTATATTTCAAGTATGTATGGACCGATTATTTTTAAAATTTGTAGTTTTACATTTATTGAGATGGCAAATACGAATATGCAAATAGTATTGGTATATCATCTATGGGGCGCTAGTTATCCTATCAATATAAAAGTATGTGCAAGTTTTTATATTTTACAATTTTGAATATTTTAACTAGATATATTATTGAACTACGTTCAACTGTAAATAAAAAAGGTATACTTCTTACAAATCGATAAACACAACCGTTCTCGAGATACCGACGTTTTAAGTTTTTGAGATTCTTCGAGAATTAATTTAGAAAATTAGCAGGTCTTAAGATAACCAAGCCTGAATTAGGAATTAAGACAATTATTACAGCAACTGAAATTTTTTTTATACAAAATATCTTAAGAAATTATTAATCACAAAAGATTCTCGAAGCAACCACCAGCGACTTCAATGCACTTATTTAAATTTTGTCTGATGTTAAAAAATAAAATTCTATGTTGTTCGACAATATGAACTGATTCTAGAATATTTGTCCACAGTTTTTCTTGACTATTAATAATGTATTTGTAAACTAGAGAATTAGATAGCTCCAAAAGAAAAATCCAGCGGTCTTAAATCAGGCCTACGTGCTGGCTAAAGTACATCGCTACTGCGTCCAATCCAACGGTGCAGGAAATTTCTATTAAGATATCCTCTTGCTTCTCGGGTATAAGTGCTGTTAATTTATCATGTTAATACCTACTACTTTGGAAAAAAAAAATTTTTAAATTTAATTCCCGTCGAATCTCAAAAACTTAAAATGTCTGTATCTCGAAAACGGTAGAGTTATCGATTTGTAACAAGTATACCTTTTTATTTACAAGTTAGACATATTTTTACATTGATAGGGGAGTATAACTAGCGCCCCCTAGACGTGACTCCAACGCTGTTGGCATATTCGTATTTGCCACTTCAAAAAACGTAAATCTATAAATATTCAAAACAATCGGTTCATACATACTTAAAATATTGTCACCGAACCAGAGATTTTGTATTAAAATTAATATAAAATAAGCACAAATCACTCTGTGAAGGGGACCCTACAAAATCATCGCAGACAGTGAAAAACGGCGACATCGCTGTCATCAGTCGTCAATTAAGTTAAGATAGTGACAGACTACTGACTCTTCAGGCCACGGTAAAACCATAACTCAGACTATTATTTCAGTATCAAACCGTCTTCGAAAGTTTTGTAATTTTTTTGTACAAAAAACAGCAATACGAAGTTCTACGCCTTCCCAGGAGTCTCACTAGCCGCGGCTTCGTAAAAATCGCGCAACAAGAATCCAGTAGGAAACGGAGGCGTAGACAATATATTAAAATCGAAAATATTTTTTCAACTTAAACACCCTGTAGAACGAAAAGGAACAACAATTGATTAAGGCCTGTTTGTCTCAATCGCTATATTTTGACATTAACAATCTGCCATTAAGCTGTGTACGATTATTATTAATGACTGACCCTGTATATTTACATGATTTATTTAATTTTGCACAGAAATATTAATTATTATCTTGCACAGAAATATTATTAATATATCTTTCACAGAAATATTAATATATCTTTTGGGAATATCTTTTGGAAATTTCAGTCTATATGTCGAAGACTCCACCTCTTCCAGTGCATCCTTTGACATTCAAAATTCTTTTCGGTTGTTATCAGTTGAGCGAAATAAAAAAAAACGTATTGTCATTCAAATCAAAACAAGAACGTGGTTCAGGATTTTTCTTATAAAGCAATAATACTTTCGAAATATATTTGACACATACGGAAAAATAAATTTACCACTCCGACTCTGCATATATTTATAATTAGCTATAATCGATGATAACGGTTTTATGATGTCTGCAACATAGTGCACTCATTTCCTGAGTTCAATTTCAAGTGACTACGAAAATGTCCGTGATTTTGGATGTGCCGAATCCTCACAAGAGCGGTTCAATTTTCCGACTTCCGCCCTTTCGGTTTTTCGGTGCAGGACCCACAAATTGTTCACCAAGTGTACTATACACTCAAACATTTCAACCAATGACTGCCTTCAGCAGAAATTACTTTGAGGTAAGTTGTAAAAGAAGAAACTGAAATTAAATTATTATTGGCCCTAAAGCTGCACCTTGTAGTAGTAAGTTTCCTCCACTTTCTTCTGCTTTCACTGTCAGAATATAACGTAACATTCCAGCTGAACGAGGATATTAAAAAGATGGTAAAGTACGTGTTTCAAACAAACAACCCAATGACCTTCCTAGGCCAATTTTCTGGAAATGGAGGCAACGAAGCCATGATAACGAACCTCGCCGATCCTGGGGATACCGTTATTGTGGCTAGTTTAGGAATTTGGGGAACCAAAGTTGCCGATATGGGACGACGATACGGTAAGATTTCCGTCTCCAGGCAAAGTTAGTGCTCCCACTGGCTTTTTCACTTAATTCCTACCATGCCATCAAATCCGAAAATTATATTATTTTTCATTAGTTTTTATTGGCTCGTATATATCCCTCCTCTAATTAATTTTCTACAGAAGCCCATCGAAATGAACGAATACACATTTCAACCATTTTTATGTCTATATAGATCTCAACGTTATTGAACTGACTCTACCAGCTGGTGAGGTGTACACCTTTGAAGAACTTGAAGAACAAATTGTTAAACACAAAGCAGTCGCTTTATTTGTGACACAAGGAGAATCGTCCGGAGGGGTTTTGCAACCTTTAGAAGGGCTTGCAGATATTTGCCATAAGTAAGTCAAATATTTGCCAATTATTAAATGTTATATAAATGAGAAAATACTTCGAATATTTTGTAGTTATCAATAACGCCAAATCATCTTAATCTATACTAGAAATGATGTATATTATCCATTAAATATTTCATAACAGACTAATTAATACTATATCAATAAGAAAAACACTGAATTTTGTGTAAAAATGCAAAATATTTATCTTTAAATTATGAAATAGCATCATAATTTTTTATTACCACAATGCATAAACCACAATTTACATTTATTGATCATATTTAATATAGATGCTCTCGTTTAATGTTATGTAAAGTACTTTGCTTCATATTAAAATTTTCCGTTCGAACTTCGAACAAAAAGTTCTTTTGACGTGGGGAAAATAATGAATTTTGGTTTGGACATAGTATTAACGAAACTGTTTTTGATGCTCTACAAGGAACTGATGTAAACTATACCATTGCCATCTTCTGTTTTTCCTTTTTTTTCTTTCCAAAACGGAAATATATTTTTAAACTGCTCCCTATCTATCTAGAAACTTTTTTTTTATGGTGTACAATGTCCACAACTTTCTTAGTTTTTCAGTAAAAAATCATTTTTATATGCGAAGCATTTTTTGAATAGTGAAGTTTGTGTCGATACTTATTGCTATTACCAAAGTGTTGTATGTTAATTAAGTTCCTTTTTTAGATAATCCGATTGCAAACAGTAATTATTACTGCAGGTACTTTGGATAGCTAGTGTTCCTGAGAAAAGTTCGCCACTGATTTTCTTTATTTCTTATTTTCAACTGAAGGAACAAGGGCCTGTTTTTTTAAAATACTTTTCGACTTTTCACTTTTCAAACTATTTACTGTTTTATGATTTTTATANTGATTTTCTTTATTTCTTATTTTCAACTGAAGGAACAAGGGCCTGTTTTTTTTTTAAATACATTTCGACTTTTCACTTTTCGAACTATTTACTGTTTTATGATTTTTATAGTTTGAAAAGTGAAAGTACGAAGTGAAATGCGACGAGTGCAAAGTTTTTCTGTTTTCTTAAGTAGTCTCCACTGTCACCTTTTCAGTTTCAATTTCAGTATCGAAATGTGAAAAGTGAATAGTAATATTGTTTCTTAATTGAATCTATAATACTTTTTAAATCGTATTTTTCAAAATGGAATTTGAAATAGTAAAAGTGATATTTTAAGGAATTTTCTAATCAGCTTAAGTCATAAACTTCAAATGCATGTTATGTTGGTTGTCTGGAAATAAAATTGCTTCTTACCTAAATCAGCACTAACTGACTGGTCTTATTTCTTAAAAAAAATCATTTAAATTGATTTGTTGCAAATAGACAATATTTTTCACAAAATATTGTGCAGAGTTGAAAAGTAAACAAGATAATGACGTAAGGTACTATTTAAAAAAAAATAGAAACTCAAGAAATTGGAAAATTTTTCCAACTTTTGACTTTGCACTTTTCTACTTTGAAGTTTTCAAAATTAATGTTCAAAAAGCAGTTTATGTGTGCATTGAGTGTGCAGAGTGAAAATTGATAAGTTAATGCTTAATAAAACATATCATTAATGTAAAATACATTTTTTATAAAACAGAATTACTCGTCACTTTTCAAATAAAAATTCACTTGAGAACGGCTGGACCGATCTGCCTATTTTTTTTAATTGTTTGTGATAGTCCGAATAAAGATTTTAGGGAAAGAAAAATTGGAAAAGTAACCCGGACAATCGGAAAATTCGGAAAAAACCGAAAGTGCTTTTTTCTATGGGATATTTGTACGAACTCAAGACCATAACTTACTATTCGAACGATGGATATGCGTAATTCTTTTTTTGTTTTGTTCATTATGGTCCTGAAAAAGTTTTTAGGAAAAAAAATTCAGCACAATTACAGACGAAAGTTGGAAAATTCGGAAAAAATGCAAAAATCATAATTTTTAGGATAGGAATCACATATTTGGTTTATTCCTTTTTGTTTCGTTCGTTATGCTTCCGGGTTGGAAAAAATCTGGAAGGTCTGGAGAAAAATCTGGAAGAACGTATTCCAGCCTAACACAAAATTTTCCATTGGCATACTTCTGAATATACTCCTCAAATTGAATATACGTAGCCACAGTCACTAACACATATACTATGATCACTCAGAAATACGTTTTTTTCTCATTTTTACTTTGTTTACACATTTCCAATAGCTTTTCACAAATTCACAAAACGATCACAAACAAATTTGTTGAAATTTAGACAGGTCAACTTCTATCGGGTCAGTTAGTGTAGCATAAAAAGTAACGAGTGAAAAGTTGAAAATAACTTTAAAAAAACAGGGACCTGGTATAATTTTCCAGCGTTATAGGTACCACGCCGCAGGTTATACAACAACAGTCCGTGTGGACTTTTGTATCATTTAAAAACATTAACAATTGGTTTTCTTAGGAATTTATTGGAAAACGGACCTGTGGAATATATTTTGCTCAACTATGTACATTTAAACAAACTTATTTTTTTGTTTCTTTATATATTTTGAAAAAATGTGAAAAAACTATGTCTTAAACTATAAGCTGATTAATAAATGCTAGTAGTAATCTGATTTGTCGAAAGAAAATTTAAAAATAATTGTAAATAAAATAAAATACTAATTTTGACCAAATTTTCTGAATGATTTTATTTTTGTTTTTAGATTTAATGTATTTTTCAGCATTAAACGTTTAAATTATATATTTTATGAAACATAGCTTATTTTTGTAATAATCAACTGCTAATTGTTATTATTGATTGACATTGATTTACACATGAAAGTAATAGTAATGACTAGAGACGTCAATCATAATAACCCAAAACAAATTATTTAAATATTTTTTGTATTTCCCATTTCTTACTCAAAAACTGTATTAAATACCTAAATTTGTAAGACATAAGAAGATTTCTAAATGGAACAGTTTATAATTTTTTTTTCGATAATTAAAACATTTCTAAAATTGAAACGTACATTCTAATGGTATAGTTTATATAAAATCCTATACCTTTTGCTATTGTGGCATTTCATTAGCATATTGTCTGTGTTAAAATATATTTCTAACTGCAGGTGTTTTTGGAAAAAGTTTGTTAAACATGGTAATCACCTCATAAAATTATTTTGTTATAACTCTGTCACACCATAGCTCTATTTGACTTTACCATATTGAAATAACAACAACGTTTAAAGGTACAACTGCCTTCTATCTGTCGACGCAGTCGTTACCGTAGGAGTAGTTCCATTGTTGGTGGACAGGTGGAAGTTAGACGCTGTCAATGGAGGCACCCAGAAAGGTCTTGGAGCACCCCCTGGAATGGTGTTGCTATCGTTTAGTCCAAGGGCACAGTAAGTAATAAAATTACCTAGGGGAAAATGCATTGGCTGAAAAGTGCACCCCTATATTCTTTTTTTGAAATAAATTCTGTAATTCCTCCTTAAATCCTATTCCAAGTCTCAGTACATCCTAGTAACTCCGAGCCAAGAAACAATTTATCCAATATCATAAAATTTTATGAATTATTGTTTTATAACACACATTTAAAAAGCAGAAAATTGTTTCTTGGGTAATAAATCCTAGCTATGAATTCTATGAGTTAATCCTTAAATGCTTATAGATTTATACAGTGTGTTCCACAATTACACAGCCAAACTTTAGCCGTTTTTAGACTTTATTATTATTATTTATCATATTTTTTTTATTTTTGAAAATAGGTGAAATTTAACAAGCTAATGGGAGGGAGACTCGGTTTTGGTTATTTATATTTTCATGAACTCTATTCTATTTTACTCGAAAACGGTATATACCACAGAAGTCCAAGAGAAGTCTTTTGCAAAAAAAATTGTACGCTTCTCGATAAAATTTGAAGAAAACTGCTTACAAAGAATTAACATATTTACGCTTATTACCTTCATACACCAGAATCAGCATTAATGATTAACGTTTCGAAAAATCAACCTTTTTTTCGTGATCAAAATTTGCATTGTCATTTTTTTATTAGACTTGTTAGTTTAAATTTGGTTGTGATTGTCTGCATCCTAGAGATGTCATACGATGTAATATATGCTAGTAAAGTATCTTTGGCGTACAGTCTTTACGACATCTTGTGCTTATTTTTAAAATCTTGAGTAGGTCGAAGCCTTAATGTCATATGCTATAAATGGATTTTAATAAGGATTCACTTATAAATGATTAATTAGGATATACAGTGTTGAAATCAGTTCACTTCGAGGGGCCTCCTCCTATCCTGGCTGAGACCCGCCAGCTGAGACCCGCCGCCGCCGGCTAAAGCCTGTTATCCTGGCGATCACCCTTCTCTGTAGCATCTAAACGGGCCCCTGTCAACTGTGGTCGAGATTACAGAAGCAATATGTAAGTGGTGCCATCTTCAAGGCGCCATTCAAATTACTCGAAATGAATATACATTTAAACTCACTCAGTAATGAGGACATTCACTCTGATTGAGGTACAAGTGCACCAAATACGAGTTTACGTGAAGAATTTATTTCAGTATCTACCTATATTTGAGTGAAAGTAAAGTTTTACTTTAAATATAATCACAAATTAGTAAAATGATCAAAATGCCCAATATTGAGTGAAAATGTTCTCAATAATTTCACTCAATGGATTTGTTGCTTTCACTCACACCGAATTTTTTATTGTCTATAGCGGGTGAAAATCCAGATTTACAATTTTACCGTTTTTTTGGGCATTCTTATGAACTAGAGGAAAAGAAAACAAAACACTTATTTTATTTTATATTCTGAGTTAACCTGAAATTGAAATAATTTATTTTGAATAAAAAAAACTAGAAAGTTAAACTTTTTTTAGCTTATCTAATATTTTTTAAATGTTTTTTAACATGTAACATTTTGTATATAATTAATAAAGATGATTTGAGATGTCAAAAAAACCTTAATTACCTTTGACGACGCACTGCTACAATCCATTTTCTTTTTCTCTCTAATTCATAAGAATGTCCAAGAAAACGGTGAAATTGTAATTCTGGATTTTCACCTTCTATACAGGGAGTAACTTTGAGTGAGGGTCATATTTACACAGAGACCACTTTTAACCTTTAGAAACACAGCGATAGTTTATTTGTTTAAATTCCGTTGTGAAAACTTAATTTTCTTTTATTTTTTTTTTAATAATTTCCCTACCACGCCTCTGGACAAACTAGTGTGATCTCAAGCAACGGCGCGTGTTAGTCACAGCGCATGCACAATTGAGAACTGGGCTATGCATTGTTCTTAAATCTTATAATTTAAAGGAAAAGTTATTAAAAAGCAAATTCCCCTTTGTAATTTGAAATTACATATTTTTTTGCATGAACCTGTGGAAATTTAAAATGCAGTGGCATTTTTATGCGATTTTTTTATAAATAAATAAAAACAAATTTAAAGATACTTTACTAGCGTATACGTAGGGCGCAGCCAAGTATGTATAAGGGCTAGCAGCTAACAGGTCAACAGGTGATAATATAATGGCAGAACATGGCTTCTGTGAGTTTTCTTGCACTACGATTTGCACATTAACTAATTATGATGTACCTATACTTTCTAAGAATGAATTTAAATAATTATGCTAAATAAGCGCATTTAACATTTGTGTTTTTGTAACAATCTAATTCAGAAAAATACTTACATAAATACTTCTTTTCAGTGAACGCATGTTAAAAAAGAAACATCGCACCCCTTATATATTTGACATGTTAATACATGCCGAAGTGTGGAAATGCTTTGAAACTTCATTACCAAGGTAAGTATTGATATCTTGGAATGGGAATATTTGGCTCAGCCATGGCAATGCTATGACGTCACCGCATGGGATGGTCAGCCGGCTTGGAGCTACTTCCAGATGAGTTTCTGCATCTACGGAATGTTTTAGCTTTTGTGCACATTAAATTTAAAAAATGGAAGCAAATTTCATAAAAGCAGATTCTTCTAATTTGCCAGAAGTAGGTTTGTTAATGGTTATGGATTTTTTTTATAAAAACCACTACTTTATTAATGCAAATATTACATTTCAATAACGTGTAAAGCTTCTTTAAAGTACGTTTGTAGCACAAGTTTTGATGATTTTGTACAATAAGAATATTATAATAGGAATAAGGATTTTGCATTTAATTGGACGAAACCGTTTCTGTCACCGGTTTTAAAGATTTACCTAATCATATACAAGATTCTTATTACATACTATTTTTATCCCATGGAAACTACATAAAAACTACTTATCTTACAAATATTTTAATAACATAATAATTATTATGTATTTTTATATAAATACTTAGTATCTACAGGGTCGGAAAGTCCCCATAGTTCATCGACCGTTACGTGAGAGCGATAAAGAAAGCCATAGAAATCCGTGCGATAGAGAAAGATGACCATAATGAAGGCGTCTAATAGTCACCGCCCATTTCGCCCTTCCAGAAATAAGAAGTGGATCTTATTTCTGGAAGGGCGAAATGGGCGTTGACTATTACACACTTTCATTATAGCCACCTTTCTCTATCGCACGGATTTCTATGACTTTCTTTATCGCTCTCACGTAACGGCCGATGAACAATGGGACTTTCCGACCCTGCATAGGTATTTGTATAATACATAATCACAAAAAAATCAACAATGGAAAACACAAATGTATAGTGTTCCTAGAGGATACAAACGTATTTATTACATACCTAAATTACGCAAGGTAGTTTTGTTGCTTTCCAAATAAGTCATTTTCAATTAAAAGGTATTAAAAAAAACAAATCAAAGTAGAGACTAATAGACTAATAGATTTTAGATCTGCACGACAGAATTACGGGGACATTATTATTTTCTTAGGCGTCTTCAGACTAATGCTTTCACACTGGAAAACAATACAATATTTGTAATTGCTTTCTGTTCTATGTCTTCCATATTGCTAAAAAAAATTGGTATCTTAACGTACTCAATCGAAACTTAACAGGCAACTAAAACCCGACTACCCGACTGACTGACAATACACGCAAGTATGCGGCATCGGTTTCCCATGCGGTGACGTCACACCCACCAGTTCAGCGGATAAAATTGCAATATCTTTCCGTTAAGCAAATAAAAAAATTACTGAATGAGCCGCATTAAAATACTGGAGATCCTCTTTTACACAATTGATACAGCAGTCAATTATGGGCAATTATTTTTTTTACACACCCAACAAAATTCTATCTCATTTTATTTTTCCTTATTCTTATTTTTTTGTTTAAAACATGAATTTTATGATTTCGTTTACCTTGAATATAAATCCTCGTATTCTTTTTCAGTTACATTTACACATATAACACTTCGTTTCTTGCGACTATCAGACAGGCTTTAGTGGAAGTCTGCGAGGAGGGTCTTGAAAATGTTTGGCGACGCCATCAAGAATGTTCCGATTTGTTCACAAAAAAAATTGAAAAACTGGGAATGCGACATTTCATAGAAAAACCAGAAAATCGGTTTTGCGGAGTCAACTGCGTTACCGTTCCCAAGGAAGTAGACTGGCAAGAGCTCTGCGATTACCTTTTGACCAAGTAAGTCTCTTTGTTCCATAACCAAATCAATTTTAAATTTTTATTCTTGCTATCAAAAGAAATAGAGAAGTTTATCGGGGCCTTTACATTTATATTATTTTTTCTTTTACATTTTTCAGACATGAAATAGAATTGGGTATGGGCATAGGACCTACATTAGAGAAAGCTCTTAGAATAGGTTTCCTGGCACAAAACGCAAAACCTGATCTAGTGGAATTTGTTGTCAGTGCCTTGGAAGATGGAATTAATTACTGCAGATCGAGAAAGGGCGCGTTTAATAGCAGTAATAGTCGATACGAATTTTATTTAACGAAGAATAAATATGAAAAGTAAAGTAAAATATGTCAGTAGTAATTAATGAAAATAAATAAATAACAATAAATTTACGAATATTCATGATTCAGACTCTTAATTGTTTTTATTTATTTATAACCTTTATTTACATTAGTCCACAGAGTAGTTGCTTCCCGCAGTTACATCAGTTGGGAATCTTGTCTGCGAGGTTAGATATTTTTTGGATATCTAGATTTCTGGTCTTATTTAATGAAATATTTATACTTATTCAAAGTTGGTGGAGCCGGGAGCTGAGCGAGCGGAAGAAGGCCAGGATATCGTCCAACAAGGCAAAAACGATTAGGCAGAACTTTTCAAAAAATTGATCAGGAGAAAACAAAGGGATGCATTGAGAGCCTACTGCGAGGAGATTGAGGACTACTTGCTGGCTGCCAGGCTATGTAAGATCCCTGCAAATGAGAAAGATCATGATTTGGATGTATCAATTAGAGATACAAAAGCGATATATAAGGGATAGTGTGCTAATGGATAGACAGCCACATCCTAAACCAACACACATACACTCCTGGGCGATCTGTCGATACTGCCCTTCACCAGGTGGTATAATATAATCGAGAAATCCATAGTATAATATCGACCCCACTACACTGATTAGTGGAAAATTCGAAGAGATCCTTTGCCAAAGAATGAAACAGCCTTAAAAACTATTGAAAATGGTGTGAGGACCATGCTCCGTCTGTCAACACCAAGAAGATGGAAATCGTTCTTTTCACAAGGAAGAGAAAACTGGGGCCAATAGAGGCACCAACTCTCCTCAATACTGCGTTAAGCTTTGCATCGGGCGTGAAATACCTAGGAGTCACTCTCGATGCAAAGTTAACATGGAATCTTCATTTTGAAAGGAGACTAAAAAGGGCGTCATATCCTATGAGCAGCGCCGCAGGACCGTTAGTAAAATCTGGGGAATGGATGGCACTGTCATTGTCAAACCAATCTATGGAGCTGTCGTCTGGTGGCCGAAAGTCTTGCAGACCACAGCTAAACAAAAGCTCAGCCAGGTACAAAGCATTGCCTGTCTGAGCATAACTGTAGCTATGCGAACAACACTCACCATAGCAATGGAGGTAATGCTGTGTCGGTCGCCTCTAGATAACTATCTAAGGGAAGTGGCCTTGACAACCATGCTTCGCCTCAAGAACGTTGGTTTCAAACCGGATGTAGGATGTGAGTTAGGAGTCACCTATGGAATGCGATCGTCCAGGAAGATGCCCCTTCTGTAGGTAGACACTGACAGTATTTCTCCCCAGTTTGCGTTTGTCAGGCCCTATCCGCGATAATTTTTAAGATGCAAGCGCACCAAGCGGCGAAAGCAGTAAGCTCCGAAACAAGGTAATTTTGACATTGCCGTTCGCGTTTACACATTCATTTGAACAACATTTGTCTTATTTNTTTCTGTTCTATGTCTTCCATATTGCTAAAAAAAATTGGTATCTTAACGTACTCAATCGAAACTTAACAGGCAACTAAAACCCGACTACCCGACTGACTGACAATACACGCAAGTATGCGGCATCGGTTTCCCATGCGGTGACGTCACACCCACCAGTTCAGCGGATAAAATTGCAATATCTTTCCGTTAAGCAAATAAAAAAATTACTGAATGAGCCAAATTAAGATACTGGAGATCCTCTTTTACACAATTGATACAGCAGTCAATTATGGGCAATTATTTTTTTTACACACCCAACAAAATTCTATCTCATTTTATTTTTCCTTATTCTTATTTTTTTGTTTAAAACATGAATTTTATGATTTCGTTTACCTTGAATATAAATCCTCGTATTCTTTTTCAGTTACATTTACACATATAACACTTCGTTTCTTGCGACTATCAGACAGGCTTTAGTGGAAGTCTGCGAGGAGGGTCTTGAAAATGTTTGGCGACGCCATCAAGAATGTTCCGATTTGTTCACAAAAAAAATTGAAAAACTGGGAATGCGACATTTCATAGAAAAACCAGAAAATCGGTTTTGCGGAGTCAACTGCGTTACCGTTCCCAAGGAAGTAGACTGGCAAGAGCTCTGCGATTACCTTTTGACCAAGTAAGTCTCTTTGTTCCATAACCAAATCAATTTTAAATTTTTATTCTTGCTATCAAAAGAAATAGAGAAGTTTATCGGGGCCTTTACATTTATATTATTTTTTCTTTTACATTTTTCAGACATGAAATAGAATTGGGTATGGGCATAGGACCTACATTAGAGAAAGCTCTTAGAATAGGTTTCCTGGCACAAAACGCAAAACCTGATCTAGTGGAATTTGTTGTCAGTGCCTTGGAAGATGGAATTAATTACTGCAGATCGAGAAAGGGCGCGTTTAATAGCAGTAATAGTCGATACGAATTTTATTTAACGAAGAATAAATATGAAAAGTAAAGTAAAATATGTCAGTAGTAATTAATGAAAATAAATAAATAACAATAAATTTACGAATATTCATGATTCAGACTCTTAATTGTTTTTATTTATTTATAACCTTTATTTACATTAGTCCACAGAGTAGTTGCTTCCCGCAGTTACATCAGTTGGGAATCTTGTCTGCGAGGTTAGATATTTTTTGGATATCTAGATTTCTGGTCTTATTTAATGAAATATTTATACTTATTCAAAGTTGGTGGAGCCGGGAGCTGAGCGAGCTGAAGAAGGCCAGGATATCGTCCAACAAGGCAAAAACGATTGGGCAGAACTTTTCAAAAAATTGATCAGGAGAAAACAAAGGGATGCATTGAGAGCCTACTGCGAGGAGATTGAGGACTACTTGCTGGCTGCCAGGCTATGTAAGATCCCTGCAAATGAGAAAGATCATGATTTGGATGTATCAATTAGAGATACAAAAGCGATATATAAGGGATAGTGTGCTAATGGATAGACAGCCACATCCTAAACCAACACACATACACTCCTGGGCGATCTGTCGATACTGCCCTTCACCAGGTGGTATAATATAATCGAGAAATCCATAGTATAATATCGACCCCACTACACTGATTAGTGGAAAATTCGAAGAGATCCTTTGCCAAAGAATGAAACAGCCTTAAAAACTATTGAAAATGGTGTGAGGACCATGCTCCGTCTGTCAACACCAAGAAGATGGAAATCGTTCTTTTCACAAGGAAGAGAAAACTGGGGCCAATAGAGGCACCAACTCTCCTCAATACTGCGTTAAGCTTTGCATCGGGCGTGAAATACCTAGGAGTCACTCTCGATGCAAAGTTAACATGGAATCTTCATTTTGAAAGGAGACTAAAAAGGGCGTCATATCCTATGAGCAGCGCCGCAGGACCGTTAGTAAAATCTGGGGAATGGATGGCACTGTCATTGTCAAACCAATCTATGGAGCTGTCGTCTGGTGGCCGAAAGTCTTGCAGACCACAGCTAAACAAAAGCTCAGCCAGGTACAAAGCATTGCCTGTCTGAGCATAACTGTAGCTATGCGAACAACACTCACCATAGCAATGGAGGTAATGCTGTGTCGGTCGCCTCTAGATAACTATCTAAGGGAAGTGGCCTTGACAACCATGCTTCGCCTCAAGAACGTTGGTTTCAAACCGGATGTAGGATGTGAGTTAGGAGTCACCTATGGAATGCGATCGTCCAGGAAGATGCCCCTTCTGTAGGTAGACACTGACAGTATTTCTCCCCAGTTTGCGTTTGTCAGGCCCTATACAGTACTCATTAGGAGACAGGAGAAGACCACCGGCCGGCGAGGATGTAATTAACGTATTCACAGACGTATCAAAAAGGAAGGTTGTGCTTTCAATTTGCCAAGGAGTTCCTAGAATACCCTAGCAAGGATACAGCCAAAAAATACCTGACACAGTTGGCTAATGAAACACCTTCACCTCATGAGGCAGTGTAAAACACCTTTTCGTAGGGGTTGTAAACAGGAAGACGAAACACACATGTGCTATGTGAATACGCTGCCGTCTCGTCAACAAGATAACCCGTGTTGGGAGAACGTTGGCCTTCTATGACCTATATTAGAGAGGTCCCCCTGAACAACTTCATCACCTTTTTCTCTTTAATAGGCTGGTTAACGGCTCAGATGGACTGATCTCCTAATGGGAAAAGTACAAGGGGCCCAATGGGGTCTAAGTGCTGCAACTTCTAACCTACCCTCCCCACAATTCCAGATTCCAGACATCGTTTCCTGCGCAGCGCCAGTCCAGCGCCAGCAGTAGTGATAGTGAAAGAATACAATAATGTCGCCGTAATGGTCCATTCGTAGCGTTGTTTTTAGTTTTATGATGGCCTTGTGTGCCATTTTTATTTCCAATGACAGTAATTGTGTAAGTGCGTTTGTTGGTTCTGTTTAGTATCGTTCTAAATAAAATAATAAATATATAATTTAAGTGCTCCCTTTAGGTAATAAAATTTTAAAGTTAATTTTGTTTTTCATTTGTATTTGTTATTTTTAAAATCGATTTGTGTTCTTGACTTAATCCACACATTTGAATTAGTATCTCATGAATTTGATACGAAATTACTTAATTACAAGTCAGATAACCAATCACGCAGTTTTAAAGTTAATAATTTTTGAGAATTCATAAGAAAAACAACTTTATGGTTGAATAACATTTTGATACTTCTATTATTTAAAGTAAACCAATAAAATATGTCTTTATAAATAAATAAGCATCAATGCTCAATTTAAAATATGTACCTTACTTAATTCTTTATAAAAATATAAATTTTTATTTCCATAATAGGTAGTCAGACATCCTCAGACTGTGCTGAGGATAGCATCTTGTCCAATCTGAAACATACCGCGGGATATCTGGAGGTATGCTGATTTGTAACATAAGATATCCCTGGTAGAGATGTTTTAAAATCTTATGAGCTTTGACCTTCATATGCGCAGAAACATAATTCCGACCGTCGCCTAAATTATTCTACGTCCTAAAAACATTACACCTATTATTCACAGTCTCTCTCGAGCTCTAGCGTAAACAAGCCTTTGATCCGATTACAAATATCATAATAAAATGCCCTATTCTTTATTATTTTAATTTAAACAATAAAAATATATATAACGAACGTTCGCCAGTTGACTTTATTGATGCCCGAGCGCCTTAGTTCATNGTGAAAGAATACAATAATGTCGCCGTAATGGTCCATTCGTAGCGTTGTTTTTAGTTTTATGATGGCCTTGTGTGCCATTTTTATTTCCAATGACAGTAATTGTGTAAGTGCGTTTGTTGGTTCTGTTTAGTATCGTTCTAAATAAAATAATAAATATATAATTTAAGTGCTCCCTTTAGGTAATAAAATTTTAAAGTTAATTTTGTTTTTCATTTGTATTTGTTATTTTTAAAATCGATTTGTGTTCTTGAATTAATCCACACATTTGAATTAGTATCTCATGAATTTGATACGAAATTACTTAATTACAAGTTAGATAACCAATCACGCAGTTTTAAAGTTAATAATTTTTGAGAATTCATAAGAAAAACAACTTTATGGTTGACTAACATTTTGATACTTCTATTATTTAAAGTAAACCAATAAAATATGTCTTTATAAATAAATAAGCATCAATGCTCAATTTAAAATATGTACCTTACTTAATTCTTTATAAAAATATAAATTTTTATTTCCATAATAGGTAGTCAGACATCCTCAGACTGTGCTGAGGATAGCATCTTGTCCAATCTGAAACATACCGCGGGATATCTGGAGGTATGCTGATTTGTAACATAAGATATCCCTGGTAGAGATGTTTTAAAATCTTATGAGCTTTGACCTTCATATGCGCAGAAACATAATTCCGACCGTCGCCTAAATTATTCTACGTCCTAAAAACATTACACCTATTATTCACAGTCTCTCTCGAGCTCTAGCGTAAACAAGCCTTTGATCCGATTACAAATATCATAATAAAATGCCCTATTCTTTATTATTTTCATTTAAACAATAAAAATATATTTAACGACCGTTCGCCAGTTGACTTTATTGATGCCCGAGCGCCTTAGTTCATTTCTGGTTGTAATGAGGCACGTGGTCTAATTCTGAGTCAATGTTTTCACAACGTGCTTATTGGAAAAAATATGCGGATACGCCACGCCTTTCGCGCATTTCGCGGCTCATGAGATATTAAAAGACCTCTACGTCCTTTGGACATTGTCAGAACCGTACATTGATAAAAATCCCAAAATGCCCCTGGATACAAGAACTAGGGCAAAATTTTCATTCCGAAAAATTTTTCATATAATTGAAAAGCGCAGTAAGACTTTTCCCAGAAAATATATGAAGAGTCTTTTCCTCATACTTAGTTATTTTAGAAATCAATTTAATTGAAGAAAATCTGTATCTGTATTTGTCTTACATAAGTACATATCGACAACTTGCCAACAATTTCAGGGATGTAAATTGCCGTCACAGTTGGCAGCGCCTTGTCAGCGTGTTCAAGGAATGGCTGAAGACCTAATCATTCTAAGCCCACATAAATTGTGTCTGTCAATGACGTCCTTTTCAAATATCAATGTTAGGCGCTCTCTCATTTATCCAAAAAGTAAATTAGAAGAGGTAATATGATGATACCTAATTCAAAATATATTTAATTTCAAATTCAGCCAAGTAATAATTGTATTTATTCTGTATATGGAGAAATGGAGAAATACTTATTAAATTATCTATTCGATTTCTTTGGTAATTAGTTTTTAATATGCCCCTTTGTTCTTCCCTTAACATTGTCACAGTAAACATCTTTTAGTAGCATATACATTTTTTTTATTTTCTATAACTATTTTATGTCAATAAAGTACATTTGTCTCATCTCATTTTGTGCAAACCGAAAATCTGTTTTTAACGATTACAATTAGATGATAAAATTTTTCTGTTGTACCTACAAACAAGTCAGTTGATGTTATCTTTTTGACATCGTAATGGTCAGTAATTTATAAAATCAGTTGCACTTTTATTTCATGTAAATTGATATAATTAATACTTATTGTGTCAAGCGTGTTTTACCACCAGATGTCGAAAGACTCTTAATATTTATAGGAAGTGTGTTGAAATTGATGAACTTTACTGGTAAATATAAGTTTTTTGAACAGGCAGTTGGTAAGACTTTCCAAATAATGTGTCAAAAAATTACACCTTTAATTCAAAGGAAACGTTGACGTAAACATTTAAAAAATAGAACTTAGCCTGTCCCATCATGTTTTAACACACCAGTTGTTACCAAATTTATCTATTACCAAGTTTATCGCAGCCAAATACATGCCATGTAAGTAGGGTTACCAGATCTATTTCATGACAGACCCGGAGAAATTGATGCAATTGCAATCAGACAAATCGATATCTAAAGAAAAAGGACACAATCAGGAAATATATACTTTGTCGGGGAAATGAAAGGGCTTTGTATAATTGATGTTTAAAAAAAACAGAAAATGTGGAAAAAATCACGATTT